AGAGAGAGAGAGAGAGAGAGAGAGAGAGAGAGAGAGAGAGAGAGAGAGAGAGAGACAGACAGACAGACAGAGAGAGAAAGAGAGGCAGAGCCAATAGAGAGAGAGAGACGGGAAGTGAGACAGAGAGATGAGAAAGGGAGATAGAATGAGAGAGAGAACGCACCTTTTCTTTCCTCGATTTACAACTGTTGTTGGAAACAATGGCCCTGGCGACGTGGTTAATGATCTCAAACCGCAATACGACGACGCGTGTCGCGACGCGAGAAAAGGGAGGTGCCGACACGTGAAAGGGAAAAACCGCGAATGGAGACGTGGGAGATTGCGACGCGAAGGAGATGGCGAGGCGAGGGATATGGCGACGAGGGCGAGAGAGAGAAGCGAGGCAAACGGCGGGGGAGACGGCCACGAGATGGCTGTGTCCCTCGGAGACGAGATGGCTGTGTCGCTGGCAAGGGCGGGTGGTCCGGGCGCGCGACGGGCATTTTCAGCCGTGAGGGTTGGCGACACCTGGCATTGCCTGCTGCTTCGGACGATTGCAATGCCCACCTGCAAAGTCGCGGAATGGCGCCACCGTCATTCGAAAGGCGGATACATCCGAGCGGGGCCCAAGAAACGAAAGTGGACGGGAAAAGCCGCGCCGGATGACGCGTTGGTACCGTCGATATCACGGTAAAATTCGCGCGAGCCCCGATATTCAAAAGTGGGCGGGAAAATTTGCGCCAGATGATGCGTTGGGATTGTCGATAGCACGGTGAAAAAAGGCCAGTCCTCTCGCAATCACGACCCGGCCTCCCGCGACGGTTTCGGACCGTGCGATTTCGTGAGGAGGGTCCGTCAAAAAAGGGACCGCCTGATGTTCCAGCCCCCGACGCGGCAGTACCAGTGGCAGGCAGCTGAATGGCCCCTCAAGCCCCACTCACTGCACTCTCCGTTCTCCTGTCGGGCACCAAACGAATGGGGGTGGCTGTCACGCCCATTCGCTGGTGTCATGTCTTCCGTGTGCTGCCTTTGCGACGCGTTCCCCATCGCTCGAAGTCGCCTGCATCATATCGCATGCCCCTTGCGCATCCAGGCCATCGTTCTTCCAGCAATCGTCGATAGCCGGGGGCGCTAACGAAAACGTCACGCGACTGTACACCTTGCA